TTTACGAGCGCGCACCGGTGCATGCTTCGCGAGGTCATCCCCGTGTAAATCCTCAAGGTTGCGTCTCGCGCACTTCTTATTCAGACAGAAGGGCGGAGGGTTAATCGTCTCGCGAAATCGCTTGTTGTAACTCCTCACGAGGAAAATGCTATCTCTCTGCACCGGGCGACGCGGCCCGGTGCAGTGAACCTGGAATTGTTATGATAGCGTGCGCGTCGGCACATAAGTGCAGCCTTGCCGTTGAAAGTAGCAAGGTCGTTTCTTCTCCCCGCCAATTCCACTTTTGCCCTCTTTGCAGTGGATACATACGCGCTCGGTACGGCGACGGCGAGCCAGTGACGCGAAAATGGGAAGTCGCTGTCTTTCTCTTTCTCTCTCCCTCTCCCTCTCTCTCTCTCTCTCTCTCTCTCTCTCTCTCTCTCTCTCTCTCTCTCTCTCTCTCTCCCTTTCTCTCTCGCGGCGCACAATAATTTGCGCCGATTAACGGTTAGAGAAGAATGCATCGCGTTTGCATTACCATCCGCGGAGAGGATTGCGGATGATTTCTTATCCGGAAAAATACGAGATCGTGTCGTACGAAAGGCTCGTAATTGAATTCATTTCGTACGTTTGTTTGTTTTTCGTGATCTCGAATTCGATCTCGCTCGGCTCGACCTCGCATTACGTCGAACGTATATTATCGTTACAAAAAAAAAAGACGTAAACTCTCCCTATCCCCGAGCGACCGAAGAACGTTTCGTTAGTCGGGGTAAAGGCGCGTAACGCAACTTTGCATTGTTCGATGAAATCGCGAGGCGTAATCATAAGGCGAATTCCTCCGCAGATTGCTGACGATATAACGGCGCGTTGATTATTGCGGCATAGTGATTATTACTTTGAAGCATTGTGTATTCGTATATAGCGTTGCGGAACTCTCGACGAGAGGACTTCGCTCTCGAATTTCTCCCAAAATAGTTTGATTATATATGAAGAGTGATTAATATTAAACATTGATCTTGGTGTGTGACATTAGGCACGGTCAGTTTTACACGCACTAACACTTTCCTCGCGTCTTTCAATGCGAAAAGTTTCGTCGCTCGCCGCTACCTGTCTCGCAGGTGTGAAGTGCAATATAAACTTCCCCGGCCAGGCCGGCGAATGAAGCAACGTCGCGCTCGGAAATTAACAGCGCATAGCAGAGCCGCGTTATAAAATTGCCCTCGACTCTGTCGTTGGTCCATGATACTATGGATTTCTTCGTCGACTAACAGCGACGATTCAACGTCCCTGTCTTTCTCCCTCTCCCCCTTCTGTCTCTCTTTCTTCCTTTTTCGTAGCGACTCATCGCAATTAAAGGAGCACTTGTAAATTGCGTACGCGAGTCCTTCCTCTCCCCCTCCCCCCCGCCGCCTTCTCTTCATCCTCTCCGCTTCATCTCCCATTCTTTTTCTCTTCATTGTTTTTCTCTCATTTGCCATTATAATCACGCGGATATCCCGTAGACCTATCGTGCGCGTCGCTTCGCGTAAAAGCTCGTTCGAAAATACGTCCGTCGCTTTTATGGCACCTAAAGCCAGAATTCTCTATGAAGCGGAGAGTCGGAGGCTTCTTCAGCCATACAAGCAACCCTGCGCACATACATTATCCTTAGAGAGTCTAAATTATGTGATGAAGCGACGAGCCTTCGTAATGTGCCAACCAGATTGTCAGGAATATTAGAAATGGGAAATGATGAGAATTTATGCGTTATGACTTAGCCCTCAGAGGTCTCGATAAACCTGTCACCTAGTGACAAGCACCGCGCGTAGGGTTCAAGGCTGCCTTCAAGTACACGCCGCACGGCTATCTCCGAGAGAATGAGAAAGCCCCGCAGCTGCGAATTAACGTGGACGTAAATAGAGCGTAATTACAGACCGCGATGGATCAATGGAAATTGGCGTACTGTCGTAGTAAGAACCTTGTTTAACGCAATTAATGACCGACAGAGCTGTCGACGTGGAGCGCATAGAGCGAGATTCTTGACTCCTTTAGCGGGTGACTCTTGCGACGCGTTTCGTCCCCGTGGAACGTCGAACATTCCGCGACGGCGATAAGTAACAATAAGAAACTGCTTCTGACATTGAGACGTGTCGATGCAAACGGCAAAACGCGACGGACGACTTCACCGGATATCTTCCCCTGTGCAGAGAAAGTGATTAAACACACATAAACGCGCGCGCGCGCGTGCGTGCGCGATCGAAGTATGAATCAGTTTCCGATTTTCCCTCAGCGCGAAAATTACCCGGCGACTTTTTACCTCCCGTCTTGGAATGTCTCGGCCGTTCAAGGCTGGATTCCCCCATAAAGTGCGCTCGTTAAAATATCGTTAATAATGGAAACATTCCGCGCGTCAAGTCCCCGCGGGGACGGGGGCAGGATGCCGACGGTGATGAGCCCGCGTTTCGTAATTGCATGCGTTTTTACGCTGGAAACTATTCTTCAGTGTGTTTCATGGGATTCCTTTTTCGACGCTCATTGTCTGGTCGTGCGATCGACAAAGTACGACGCGGTAAGACCGCTTCTTACGATCGCTTCCACGATCGATCGTTCGTTCGCTCTTTCTCTCTCTCTCTCTCTCTCTCTCTCTCTCTCTCTCTCTCTCTCTCTCTCTGCACGTGGCTGCGGTAAATTTAAAACGAACGCTCTCTTTTTCGCGCGCAAGACGCAAAAAGCTCGCACCTGCGTTTCAGAAATCGACCACAAGTGCGGCGTCAAACGGCGGAACCGTCTTCTGCAAGATGGACCTGGACCTACGTTTTTGCAATCGGAAGAGACAAAGGGCGGTGTACTTGCATGAGCCGCATGCTAATTGCGTTTCTTGCCGCGACGAATCTCATATCTCGCGCGTTTCCACGCCGATACAACAATTAATCTCCGCGGGAAGAATGCGTTCCCTTCTTGTTGCGTTCATCCCGATAGTCATCCGAGGAATTACAATCTTCAATTGTAATGGAACATTAACGATTCACAACATATTGCAAGGTCCGACGACTTGCTTCGTGCATATCTCTTGATTTTAATATGCGTCTTACCGAACAATCGTGTCATCGTTGCGTCAAGATCGAATACCGCATGAATCGTTCACTGCGCGATGCACGTGCGGCGTTTTCCGATGGCGCATTAAACCAAAATTCATTTCGGGAGCGGTATCGCGACTAAGGCCATTGCCATCTACAGATTACTAAAGATCTCCCGCCAGTTGCGACGAGACAGCGCCGGGGACGAGGAGAGAGGCGTGTGCGCGCACACACGTGCGTTTACGAGTTTACGGGCGTACATAATGCATCGTGCAGCCGTGAGCAAGGCTGCTGCTACTACTTCTTGGTTGATCGATTCAATGCCAAGATCGGACGATGCGACGAAACGATCGATCGATCGATCGATCGGCCGATCGACCGACTGACAAACCGACCGGCCGGCCGACCGGCTGGCTTGAGCCGAGCATGCGAATCGGGGAATGTCGATCCAAATACAGCCGGCTGCTCGGACCGTGACGCGAATTCGCGATCGAGCGGCGAATATTTCGGCGACATTCGTTTACATCGGACACGTTGTGAGTACTGTAAATCCCGGCGTTGCGACCGGGTGAAACAGTTACACGATGACCGATGTCCACCACATGTAACGATTACGCGCGTGCTTTACACCGAGAAACATTCAATTCATTTTCGTGTCTTTAACCGGCGGTTAAATAAAATAAATAAATGTGGATACTTCAATCTCTCTCTCTGTCATGCGAATGTCGCTTAAAGAGAATTTGATTCCTTAAAATATTTCCTCGTGAATAATATTCTATTTCGCTAAATTATGAGACTTTAATTTGGGCACAAGCAATAGTGAGTATAGTAAATGTTTAATTATTTACATGATAAGAAAAAATTTTATTCATCTGATCTTTCGTATTTATATTTTAATATATAATATCGTAATCAATAGAAGACACTCTACGAAATTGATCGTTTAACAGTGGAAAATATTAAATTAAATATTAAAGATTCATCTGGTAGATCTTATTTCCTTTTTTTATAAGATCTTTAGCTTTTCTTTTACGATTAAAGACTATGGTTATTATTGCATAAATTAGCATGATATACGAGAAAAAAGTATAAAAGTTGTTTGTTCAGCTCAACACGTCATTAGACTTGTTTATCGATATTAGCTTGCATTAGCGACGCGGAGTTTTCGGAAACCGACTTCAGTTATGCGGCGTATCGTAATCGGACGGTCAACATGTGTATTTATGAGGCTGCCTAAACCTTTCGGCCAAGCACCTCGGTCGCTGAAATTTATGCTAATAGCTTCCCTTTAAGACCTCCGTTAATGATCCGCCGATCTACTTCTCTCGAGCAGGCGAAGAAATACCCGCCGGTATTTCCACGAAAAGTCAGAACTGCGGGCAATAAGTTATATTTGCGCGACTAATTTATCACACAATACCGCAAAAGACCGAAAAAGGAATCATCAGATTCAGACGAAGTTTGCGCTTGCGGTAAAGAGGACCTGCTTTCTCATTTAAATGACAGGCGTTCGTCTTCGTCCATTCCTCGCAATGCCAATCTTGTACCGTCACAATAATTTCCATATATAAATATAACGTAACGTCCTAGATCATTAATTATTAATTGTAGTCGACTGATTTGATCTCTTCTCATATGCCGTCTCGACTCTTTAGACGTTTCCAGCTAAATTGTTTCAGGATAAAGTAATTGTAGGATACGATATTCATTAATTTTACCAGAGAATATAATTACATTATTGTTTAATATGTGATCCGCGAGCGCAACTTCAATATCACTTTCGATAACACCGTTAGTTGTCATCTCGCCTGCAACTTCGAATTATCTCGAAAATACGGGTGGCTAATTTTTACTGAATTTTCGCAAAAATCAAACGTAACAAAATGCGGCTGGATCAATCACGGAAGCGCGAGTCTCCGTTCACATTCGCAAACGCAGAAAAAAGAAAGATATACATGGACTCACATCTCGTTGCACTCGACAGAGAATCCCCGTCGTTTCCGTTCAATCGCCCGCGATTCTCGCCGTCATCTCGCGTCTGTCCACGTCGTTTCCTTATTACGCGAGTCGAATCCTTCGTGGTCCTCGGGAGAACTCGCGTATACCTCACCGTGACAGAGAGAGAGAAAGAGAGAGAGAGAGAGAGAGAGAGAGAGAGAGAGAGAGAGAGAGAGAGAGAGAGAGATAGAGAGAGAAAGAAAGAGAGGTAAAGTTGGAACCAAAGTGATCCGGCCGACGTTGCGGCGACTTTTCAGCAACTATTCTGCAAAATCGGTTGCCGATCGTGGCACGTTCCCGAGAGGGAGTAAGTCCTGAGGACGCGGATGGCTCCTACTTATAAAGACTTGGCCAAGACTTGGCTCTCCAATTGGCCTGCCGGTGTGCGTGGAGCGCACCTATGTGCGTGTGTGCACGCGAGAAGGAATCGTGGCCGCGCGTGCAGGTGTGGAAGGGGGTACAAACCGTGTCCCGATCGTTACACACACTCGATGTTACACATTACACCGGCCCGATACCGTCCAGGAACTCACACCTCCTTATCGGAGAATTCCGATGACACTCGGAATTCTCTCTTGAAATTCACGTCTCACCGTCTTTCTCTTCCTCCCTCTCTCTCTCCCTCTCTCTCTTCGCGTCGCAGAGTTTGTTAGAATAACATATACATTTCACGGCAACAAGAATATATAATATGTGTCCCAATCTTCGCCAATTATCCCTCTCACGCGAGTCACCTTTCGACAGCGTGAGTGACACATCTCGAGAGATCTTTTCGCGCTCGGCCAACTGCGCTCTCTCATCTTCTCTCTCACGATTATAATAATACCTTCTGCTCGGACATCGTTATTTCATCGCGACGCGAACACGAAAGAAACGCTTATCATCTCGCGTCTTCGACGTGCATCCGCACGTAATCCGTGCGTTCCCCACGGTGCTGACTGCTGACAATAATATCTTGATCGTTTACGCACTGAGAGGTGGTTCGCGCTCCGCAGCGTAATAGGGGCGGTAAGTTACAGAGCAGGTTTTGTTATTTCGTTGTGGTGCGCAACGATACCGATATCGATAGAAACGAGTTGAACGCATCCCGAGGCGGGGGGACGCGTCGCGTCGCGCCGCGCGACGAGACCGTCCCGACGACGCGGCGGCATGCCGCCGTGCTCCCGCGAAAAACAGGTACGAAAGCGAAGCCGAAGACGATGCGACGCGGCGGCGATCGGCGGAAAGTAAAGTCGACGTTATAATATACACGGGATCGAGTTATGTAGAGCGTCGCGATGAGTTCTTATTCTGTTGGCTGCCGGCCTTGATATGCACCTCGGACGCATCCCCGTGCGCGTTTTTTCGCGCCGTGCCGATACGGTTTTCCCTGCCCTACGATCATCGGGACTTGCGGAACAGGTTCCGCTATTTATACATCGGTGGTAATGAATCTGATAAAAGGGAGCAAAAGGAGAGAAAACGAGAGGGAAAAAAAAGAGACGAAAAAGCCGCGAGTCACGCTGACTCGCGGCTGCGCGTCGATGAATGAAAACGTCGGAGGTGTACTGCCGAATTGGCGGACTTGCGAGCTCGCGTGCTCGTCGTGTATTTAACGACAGAAGAAAGAAAGAGAGAGAGAGAGAGAGAGAGAGAGAGAAAGAGAAAGAGAGAGAGAGAGAGAGAGAGAGGGAAGGAGGGTTGAACAAGATATTTATATTAGTTAAATAGTTAAATATATTAGTTAAATAGAAGGCGAGGTGTAACGGACGCACATAGGACAAAGTTTAAAAAATAACTGTAGGTGGTCGGTGCGATACAAGTCGACATTTGTATATAAAAAAAATCGTATACAGTTCAGAGATTCATGCGGATGGCACAAAGTATTCCAGATCTCGCGCGGTCATATACGTAGCTTTTTTTACCTCTGAATCGTAGATTTCCTACATTCGAGCGTAAATCGTTATCCTAAATTATAGACGACCGTCGATGACGGTCAGTGCTCCTACGCGTGGTTCGACGAACTTGGCGCGCAGGAAGCGACGAAAATTATAAAGATTAGCCGTGAAAACGTGACGGTCGACAGTGTAGAAAAAAAATGGAACGAAGATGCTCTCAGCTCGTGACGCGCTCGAAGGCCGGGACTCATGATTACCTCGGCGGTGATCATCAGCGATTGTCCAGCAAGCGTCGCGTCGCATCGCGAACCCCATATGTAAGGAAGGATCCTGCGGGAATTTCGACGGCTCTCGCTCATTCATCTCGTGTCTAAGCCATACAAGGGCTGCCGAGGACGACGAGGGGCAAACGAGAAGTCGAGGCATTGAACTCACCGTAGCTTCCGTAGTAGATCCTTCGCTCCCGCCGGGCTGCATAATCGGTTTTCGAGCGCGCGGCACGCGCTCTCTCAGGATCTCTCTAAATTAAAAATAGATTATCTTTCGCGATGTGTCTCCTCTCTCGTCAAAAGTCTCGCAAAATTTATTTTCATTACAGCAGCATTTTCGCGAGGTCGGCAGAGGGACATTATTCTCCGAAGAGAGGAGAATAATTATCGCGAACGCGAATTATCGATGTATCCACGTACATTGATTGAAAAAAAGTGTACGCAATTTTTCCTCCTGAAACGGCGTGTCTGAGGCAGACTCGCTGCGGCGAGTTCTACGTGTATACGCACGAACTAAACATATGTGCAGAAAAGGGAGTACAATGGACCGTACTTCAAGGTACGCTCGCCATAAATGTCTTGAAGAAAAATCGCGGGTGGCTGCAGCTCCCTTGTTCAGACGCACATACGTACGTAAGACGTAGTCTTCGTCCTGCTGCGGTGAATAGCCGAGGAACAGTGAGGGCTGGCCTATTCTGCAAAAGGATCCTGAATTAACGAGCCGTGGGATAAAGCACAGAAGTCCCATCCGCCGATCCATGAATTATTCGTCCGCGGTGGACACGCGCGATTCACCTGTCATCGGGATTTTTATCCCGGTCGCGGTAGCTAATAGATGACCCCGATATAAACCTGCGGGCAACTGCGACTCTTCATCGTCGGGTTTTTTGCGCGACTCCTGGTGGAACAGCGTGACGTAATAGAGCATCTTCGCGAGCCGATGCTTTCAGCTAGCCGGAAGGATAATTTAATAATCATTTAACTATAAATCAAGATAAACCCGAATTATATGTAATACACTCACGCGCACGCGACTCGCGAGTGTGTCCGTGCTCATTTAATTAACAATTAATTATAATCGCGCGCTCGTCGTTAATCCCAACATGTTGATCGGTGATTTCTCAATGTTGATTAATTGCCATCACGCGTATATCGCGCTGATCCCCGACGATTGTAAAACCCGGAGTCGATGGTTCGCGAAAGGGCTGGCGAAGGGGGAAGGGTGGAAGTATGGTCGAGGCGCGGTGGCGTTTGTCATTAGGAAGGGACCGAAAGGGTTCAGCGCGCTGCGCGCACCGCATACTTAGAAGATGGAATATCCTGTCGACACGCGGATACGACTGCGCAGGTACAAGAGCGGGCCCCCGATGATTTATGAATCGCGGAGATCTCGAATCACCTTTAATATTTCCAGTACTTTCGCGTGCGCGCGTCTTATATATTTCTGTATGATATACTGTTATTAAGTCGTGCACGCTCTCGCGCGCGAACGCGCACCGGTTCCTTTTAATGCAGTTCTTTATTTCGCGAATTCGATTCATCTGTCTCCGCGGTAACTGGAAATTTATTTGTTCTTCGTGCCGTGGCTCGCGAGAAGCAAACAAGCTGATTAAACTTGAAAATGAGATATTTGGTGAGAAAAACGACTGTGTGTTGAGAGCGGACTGAATGGCGCAACTATTTTCTTCGGTTTTCTTCTTGTTTCACAGTTCAAAGTCGGACGTTACGAGATTATTGTTTGTATTCGATTCGCCCCGCACCGTCATCTCCGTTGAATGCGTGCGATGCCTGCAATGAGGATGTGAGATCTGAATAAAACGTAACTGGTAACACGCGAGAAAGTGATGAAAAAGGCGCGTCATCGTCGTTGTCAGCGACGATCGCGGTCGCTTGAAGATCGCTTCGTCCCCTTTTTTTGCTCTCTCGATCCTCCTTTTTTCATTATCATCATCGATATCACGGGCCGCGGAGGAGCAGCCATGCTCCTCTCGGAAGGCCGCGATATCTCAGCGCGACTTATAAATAACGTCGAACGTCCCTTCGCGCAGGTTCCTCTTCTCTCGCGCTCGCCGTCTCTTTCGCTCTCTCCATTTTGCACTCCGACGCACGATTTTTTGCGTTCCGAGAGACCCCGTAATTCAGGTTCCCTCGCACGCAGCACACGCGCGAAAGGTAATTAACGTCGTCGGTGTCGAGAAAACCGTGCCTCCGGCGAGCTTCGCTCGGTAAACGAGAAGAAGAGAAAAGAGAAAAACGAACGCGCGAAAATTTTCGGTGTTGATTCTCTCCGTCGGCTCGGTTTTTATCGCGCCGACGAGGCGTTGTCTTCCCCCACAACCCCCCCTCCCCGCCCCCCGCCTCTCCTCCCCCTGCCACCGACCACGGTGTAACCGTAACGCATCACCGATATATGCGATACGAAAGTATATCTCTCGGTATTCCGCGAAAAAATCGAAGGGAGACCCGCCACCCTCGTTCGGCAAACCAGCCTGGTAGTTACGGTCCGCGCGAATTCATTAGGACGACGATTATTTATTGCCGCGGTGTGGAAGAAGGGCGCGAGAGAAAGAGAGAAATAAAGAGAAAGGACGTAAGAGCGCGTCGCTTTAATCTCGACGAGTCCGTCGAGCTCTCGGAAGAGAGCAGAAAACAGCTGTTGTGAATATTGATATCTATCATTAATCCAAGGATATCCGTCACATCGCATTTGGAAAGAAACACGTTCGATCGATCGATCGGCGGAGACATTCGCGCGAAAAATCAAGTGGATGAAGCGACCGAAACAAACTGGTGATCGACGACTGAAAACTCGGGGGAGACGCGGTGACTCATCCGCTAATCTCTCGGCGAGATACGTTAATTTGCCATCTTAATGACTCGACGCGATATGCAAATCGTGACGAGAGGAGTATAATACTTGAAGAACACACACACACACACACACACACGTAGGCCACCGACCAACCGAACATATTTTCAAGAGGAGACCACACCGCGGATACGGCCGGCGGCGAAAGCATAACTTATTCTCGTCGTTGGCTGAGGTTGCCTGTCGCGCGCGTCTTTGTGATCTCGGCAGACCGCTATTTAACATATCGATCAACCGATTGATTTCGGAAAGATCGTTTCTCTCGAAGAGGAGGGAACGTGTGTCTTCAGCGTCGGAGACCGAAAATCCACGTGACTCACCTCTAACGTACAATGACGTACGCGCGTTGCATTTCTACTAGCCGGGGTTTTTACATGCCGGCGTCCGACGATTTTCCGCGCGCGGCCGATAGCGATTGCAGTCGCGGTAAACAACGAGAGGCGACCCCGAGAGGTTTCCCCGCTTGGGTACCGTTGGAAAATTTAGATAAGAGAGTCTCGTACCCATAACGGGTTACTCGCAAGGCTAGAAAAAATCTCACCCACACGCAAAGCAGTGGCGAGCTACGCCACGTAAGGTCGTCGATATTCTAGCGGTCGCGGAATCAACCGTAAAAGTGTCACTGATCGATTCCAGTGCGGATGACGCGCGCGCTGCTCGCTTCTGCCCGCTCATTTATTCCGCGCGCACATCGGGCCCCGTGCTGCTTGAAAGATTCATTCAGCATTCCCGGCATTTTTACCCGCTAACCTGGCGGAATCGGAGATTGACGCGTCGCTGTGCGCTTGTCTATATCCTTAATTCCGATCTAAACATCTTACGTAGTAACGCCGCGCTTGCGTTGGCGCGAATTGCGCGCGCGGTTGCGAAGTCCGTACCCAACGCGCTATCGTACGGTACCTTATCATATCATCCGCGGGCTCTCTCGTCGCCCGAGAGACGAGAGGTATCGTTGCGCATCGTAAGGAATTATCGTCGTCCTCCCGCTTGTCGCTTCCCGACGTTTTGCGGCCACCTCGCCCTCGCGTGTTTCTTTCTCGAACTGGCGATTACAGCCTGGGATCGATAATCGCGGAACGAGACTCGCCAGCTCTCGCCTTAATCTTCTCCTCCTTCTACTTGGATTTCTTTTTCTCCTCCGCCGCCTCGGACCTCCTCGGGATCATCTTCGCGCAGCTCCCTGCATCCTTTGTCCGACATGCGGCTGTCCGCTGCACGTACGGCATTTTCGATCGCCATAGACAAGCAAGGACGACTGAATCATTGCCTCGTGCCGGCTGTCATTAACGGTCTATAAAATTCTGTCGGTCGCACTTGCGCGTCTTGCTCGAGCGTAACCTCGAGAGAGCTTGCGAGCAAACGGCCGAACGAAGACGCGACGCGACGCCATCGCGAGGCGATGATCCTTCTCCTTCGCTTCTAACGGTCCGAATTATCTCCTAGTGGGAGTAACCGACATTTACGGCCCTTGGCCGTAATCTTTATCTCTATTCTGTGTGGCAGTGCGTTTTTAGATGAGCCGCGATGAACGAGATCTTCGCTCGACCTCCGCTCCAATCGTTAAGGGAACGAGCGAGCGACCGTTACGCTATACGCTCTCTGTACACGAGGGCGACCTATGAAATAACCGATGGCACATTTTCTTTATAATGTATACAATCGCGGCGAATTTATCGCGACGCGCAACCTGCAATCTTTCCTTTTACGACCGTGCGTTCGTTCGCCCTTCTGCGCTTTTTGCGAAGAGGTGTTCTGAAGTTCGCGCCCGAGGCTAAGCGCGCCGTGATGCTTTGCTTTTGTTAAGGAATTTTTATGATTTTACGATTCACTTGAAACTCCCTCCAGCCGTGAAGTTAGCGTTCGAGCGATTAACGAATCAAATCAATCCGATCGACACGTACGGCCTCTGTCTCAATCGGGCGTTTTCCATAGGTATCCTACAACATTTCGATCTTCTTCTTCTTGTTCATCTCTCTTCAGGCTTCTCGAGCGACGTGCCGAAAACAGCCGAATACTGCAACTTTCTCGTCGCGAAGTAACGTTATGGACATAAACACCATCGTTACGATACATCTGATTAATATAACGGGCTACGAGCACTCGAGGTGTCAGCGAGAGAGGATCGGCACGCAAATTCCCAAATGCTCGGACGGGCGCTTCTCTTTGCGCGTAGCGGAGCCAGCTTTGCCGTCGCGCGATACGGGAAATGTAGGCCAGCGTTAGCGAACGCAGCGATGAATATGAATAAAAATGTTGTGCCACAGACAGATATGAGGAGAATTCAAAGAATTTCAGTTCGAATTCCTCGTTATCTCTTTTCCCCAAAAATATAATTGAGAAATTCGTACACATGATGCGACACAAATGTCACATCGGCCAACGCCTGCCTCTACGTTCGTGTAGAGCCGGCTTAACTGTGAATACCTGTTGTGATGTAATAACATTGTAATGTGAGGAGCGGGTAGCTCCGTGGCCTTCTTCACCGCGAGCGTGTAATCGAGCCTGTACGCGAAACAGTGCGCGTTCCTTCGACTACTGTTACCGGCCAAATTTATTCGGTGACGCTGCAGCTATTTCGGCCAGGCGCTTTCAGCCGCCAAGGCTCCTTAAGAGAGACGGACAAAGTGTAACGGCACCTTTGCAACGCTCCTCCTTCGCGGAAGAAGACATTAGCATGTATTGTTGATCGTTTCGCGCTGTAATGTTTGCGTTTACGTTTATTTTTGCGCGGCCGAACGCGAGTGGGCGAACGAGCAAATAAAGTTTCGAGCGAGTAAACGAGAATCGCAGAAGAATTGGAAATTTTACATCTCGGAATCGGATTCTGATCGTACCGTGAAAATAAGAAATACGTATTTATTTAACGAATTTTATTTTATTTAATATTCCGGTCACACCGACTGCCTGCGAGGATACTGCTCGGTGGAGCGGCTGCATGGTATCCTTAACGGTACACCGGTGTGATATCCGCGCTGGCTTGCCGATAAACAAATGCGCAGTGGTGTGCAAATTAGCCGCGAATACGAGACCCGCTTTTCAGGCTTCCCCGCAAGAAACGTAAAGTTCCTCGAGATTCCTTCGCTGGAAGAGCGTGCTCCGCTGAGAACTGTGTTGCCTCGTCAACGTTGCGGCGATCGAAAAACACGTGGAGTTATTTATTTAAAACGCTTATCAAATAAATATAAAAAATATATAAATAAATAAATAAAATAAAATATAAATAAATATAAAGTCACGTCAAGTACAAATGAAATTTAACATTGTCCTCTTTCATTATATTCTCTCCTATTCCATTTACCTTTCATGTTTGCAGGGCGAGAGACAGTTCTACAGGACCAAAGGAGTCGAGAAATCTTGCGGTTTCAAAGGAGAGCCTCCTCCAGCCACAAGATCCTTCGAATGGCGACGGTTGAGCGAGAGAGGAGGTAAATGTATTGATTTATTGTCGGTTGCTTGTATTTCCTCCGATTCGTGCATCTAATGGCGTTTGTATCTCCCACAACTACGAGCTGTAAATCTCCTTGTTGCATAAATTATTTTTTTTCACAATGACGAAAGGGGGAAGAGGAGATAATCGTACATCTCGCGCGGCTGGACGTACCTTCGACAGAATTTACCACACTTTTAGAGTTCCTCCGCGTATATTTCCCTAGCGAAACGCCATTTACGCGCGTTTACGCAGTTGCTACAGGCTGCGCAACCGTGAGATTTCCGTGGAAGCGTCGTGCTGGCCCGGAGGCAATAAGGAAACTCATATGGTCCTCGAATCTGGTTTCGGTCATGTCAGGCGACTTTACGATCAAGACACAGTTAACCGTTGAGTTCGACCACTTCTGGCGTCGGCGCGCGGTGTACACCGCGACGCAGAATCCTGCTGGTCTTTTTCTCTCCTCCTCTCGAAAAGGATGCTCCTTCCTACGCACGGATTAGTCGACAGCGCCTACTCCCTTTAAAAATAGCAGAATCTTCCCGTTCAATACCTTAACGGAATATTGATTTACGATCCGAAGGTCGAGTCGAATATTATTGGGTGTTCGTTTAGGAAGCGTCGCGCGCGAATTCCACGAGCCCATGATGAAAATTTAATTAGACGATCGAGGCTATCTGTGGCGCGATCAATAAGAAGACGACCGATAAAAATCAACTTAATATTTCAATTATGAAAATCATTTGAGATAGAAAATGGAGCGCCGGGCGGAGACTTTTTATGAAACTTGTCCTGCACAAGTTGCCCGAATTCTGTAGGATAATTTTTAGAAATCCGTCCAGCATTTCATTTTCTGTTTCGATCGATTTTTACAATTGAGAGATTGAGATCTTGCATTATCTCATTGGCCATTGGCAAATTTCGCAGGATAGCTGTCGCGGAAGTCCGTTCGGTGCTTCATTCTTATTTTCATGTACTCTCGCAATCTCACATTTGTTGTTATTCAGCTTTTATTCTTCTTGTTGTACTACGACAAGATGTGGACGCGGTCAAAACTTGTAGTATGCAACGATTGTAGAACGACGTCCCGATTCTTCGCGAACAGCGCGCGCGCGCAGGACACACCCGACACGTGAAGCGTTCGCGTAACGTTCGCGAAAGCCGAAAGAACGTAGGCTGAAGTCCTTGGCCCAGAGGAGTCACTCACCGTGGAGGAATTCCCCGCTGCCTCTTCCTAACGACCTTCGCGCTGATCTTCGATCTTGAACTTGATCTTACGTCGCTCGCGGTCGCTGAGCCTGCCGGCAGCTTCCGACATCCAAAATCGATGGGTGTGATGATTCAAAGTAGATATAGCGGCTTACACGGGATCGGCCGGAATTTATTCGTGGATGCGAGCGGTCGAAAACGGCGAATTTCTGGGGAGGTGAGTACACATGTAAGACCAGCCGTTTAGAATGCGGTAATATGACAATGGCAATCGACGCTTGATTAAGTGCGTTCGTTATCTTTCGGAACGTTCGAATTTGGTTCGTGAATATTTAACGCGTCAACGACGCTTGCAAATGACGTCTCAAATGACGCGTATTTATGTGATAAACCATAAACTACATTACTGAAACTAAAATATATAACTGTAAAATATATAACTGTGGCTATATAACATAACTTTATTATAAGATAACAGACTATATTATACTTAAGCTATATTCAAACTATTTTAAACGCGTGCTTCGTTTGAATCGATTGATCGGTTAAATCGGTGATTTCAGTTTGCATGTGTAATTATGTAAAAATCGAATATGTTTCAGCCGTCGAATTTAAGGCCGCTATTGATACATGTCGAAGAGAGACCAATTACGGGATCACTCTCTAGATATATTCTTTTCTCCAATATTGCTATTCTCTACTGCTGCTTCTATTGTTACTATACTATTACTTTATTATTGATATCCGAGCTAATAACATACAGCGACAGTGTAACGCAGATATACATCGCCTCGATCCTTTTCTTATGCAAATTTAATAACCATCGATTAGTTACGGTGGCCGCACGTTTTCACTTTACGTCGCGACAAGCAAAAAACGCGCCGAGACTTTGACAACAACTGTATGACTTGCTAAATCAACGTCGTGAGGAGAATCATCAAAATACCTTATCTCCCTCGACTTGTACTCACACGTGTTACAAAACGTTCTGAAAAATAGAAGATGAAACGCATATCTCGAATTGAGACTTCCCGACAAGCTGGGAGGAAGTTTGCCGGCTTGAGTGGAAGAGATGATTATCGTGAATCATGAAGCTGCAGAATGATGGATGAGCGACCGATACTCAAGAGGGTGAAGAACTTCGCGGGTAAATTCAAAGCAGGTCTCTCTCGCATCGCGAGGAGAAGCAGGGAGTCGAAGAAGGCGCAGATCCGGGTTGATGGGCGATATCCTTCCCGATAAAATTTTCTTCTTTCTTTTTCTCTCTCTCTCTCTCTCTCTGTCTTTCTTTCTGTGTTGTCCTTTTTTTCATAAGCGACGCAAGTGGCCACTTATAAGGAGCTGGTGTTCCGTTACGAATATTTACTGCCAAAATTCCGGCGCAATGACGCGCGACCGGTGCGTGGATGCAGTTCCCTTCTTCTTCTGTTTCTTTTTCTTCCTCCTCCTTCTCCTCCTCGTGGCCTTGTGCGCGTGCGAGGCGACCAAGAGATCGGTTATTAATTCGTCGTACGCGTATAACGAGACAATCATGTTGCTGTTAGCCAAAGTAACGAGTAATTAGCTATAAAGCAACGGTTGCGTTGCAGTTATAGTAGTCCCGATAGTCCAACCGGGGAACGCCGTATCATCAAGCGAAGTGAACGCAATCATCATCGTCGTCATTGTCGTCGTTATCGTAACCAATGTCGTCGAGTATCAGAGAGACGTTCGTGCAGGAGGAGGCGCGAGAGATGTCGTAAACTCGCACGAGATGCTATCGGTACGCTCGTGAATAATGCATATCCGAAGGCAATCCGATGCAATAATCGACGCGTTTAAGCGCCTTTAAACGATTACGCTTATGACTTATGGTAGCGATATGCGTTATTTAAGAGCGCAGAACATACAACCTCAGGATCGTTCCGTCGCTATTTATGAATTGCCTGAGTGCGTGAATGCATGCGCAGATACAGATTGCAAAATACAGGTATAGGTTTATCGACAAAGAAGAAGAAGAATAGAAATCAAGGATAAGTGAAGAAAAGCGACGAAATAAGGAACTCGAGCCTCTTGCGTTGCCGCTGCTTATATCGAAGACGTTAATTATATCATTATATTATAGAATTATATTATTATTATATAATTATATTATATAATTATATAATAATTTATTATTATATTATATAATTATATAATATTATTATTATATTATATAATTATGTTATGCGGTATGGCCGCCAATTGATTCAAAGTACACTTGATTGATTGAGAAATCGTACAAGATACCAGCCTGTTCGTCACTTGCGAGCACTAAAGCGGAAAACGATCTGATTAGCATCGAGAGAGAGAGAGAGAGAGAGAGAGAGAGAGAGAGAGAGAGAGAGAGAGAGAGAGAGAGAGAGAGAGAGGAAAGCGATAATGAGCGTGATTTAGCGCAAAAATAATTCATCCTAAGAGTGTCCTTAGCTTTTGTGATTTTTTTTCTTCATCGTTTTTTCGCTCCGTCGCAAGCGTCGATCCGTACGACTTTACGTAATTTCTCAGCTGGAAGGGCGCAGCGATCAATTACATGAAATCAAACGTTACTTCCGCCGTTCAACAATCGGCGGATACGATGGCTATTAGTTTGACGGACGGACTGTGCGCTCTGCATTTTTCCATTAATCGCTTCCCATCGTATCGAACGTTCCTCGGAATTAACAGACTGGCGGGAGAAAGACGGTTTTCATGAAATTAGAGCCCGGAGACGCGAGCGATTAAAATAAATAATTAACGTCGCGAGAATTTGGCGCGATTTGGAGTGCTCGATCGGGCAGTTGGCGATCTACGTTACTCGCTCATTCGACGGGAAGCTATCGCCACCTCTTCACCTTCTCACTAAGATCCCCGTCTCCTCGTTTACCTACCAGAAGTAAGAGGTGCTGTTCAGTTATTCCCCGCGAAGAGAATGTATTGTGACGGGGCAGTTAATTATTCTCTATCGCCAGTGGTATCGCTCAGGATATCTTAATGAGAGAATTTGCGTTACCAGGTACACGAACATTGTTTGGTTCGACATAACGTCACGCTGTTGTGAAGTATCGGCGAATTGGTTCGTTGTTCGCTCGACGGATCAGTGAAATGCCTCTTATTCGTGCGCAATGAACTATAACATGTGAACTTGTCAGGCGTCGGAGCTAACAAATCGACCGTGGTGCTGTAATTGGTGGAAACAGACGAGGACGTTCCCATGGTCACTTCCGCTTGAACTCGCCGTTAAACCGATACGGTAAATCATAGCGCGGATCGTGCAGCGTGCATCTTTAACAGCGACGAGCATCGGCTGCTGTTCTCCGGACATGTGTTTTCACGTGCGTGCACGCTTCTGCGTTCTCTCGCGTAAGTTTGCCAAATCCACGCGTGATATAACGTAATTAACGTTGATTACTTCAGCTTTGACATTCGTATCACGGTAATGTGTGACATCAAACTTCCATTAATTTACCGTTTCAATTAAAATCGCTAATATCTGTGATAGATGATTTTTGCTTGATATATTCTATGCTGTTGCGATAAAAATCCAACAACAGCAGGAACAGCGAATCGACGATAATCGGCGGCGATAATATGTCGACGGGCTACCAGCGACTAAACTGTATCAATAGTCGCAGGAAGGATCAAATTTTGCCAGACACTCGCTGCTAGATATTTAGCGCGGAAAGTGAGCGAATAGGTCACCTCGGTCTCCGCATTAAGCATCTATCCGAGCAATAAAATTTTGATATGCCGCATCGGTCCAAGTACACATACCGTCCTCGCGCGTTACGTGCGTTACATGCCTAACACGTCCCTAACACGCCGCGAATGTAAATGGCGAGTTTGAACTAAAATCGCCGGTACATGCCGAATGCAGAAAGAAAAAGGAAGAAAATGATACGGAGCGCTTTGCTCATTCTCCGATAAAAATATACGACTTCTTTTCATCGTCCCGTACGTCTCAACGCTTCCCAGTAAGCACTCGCCGATATTTGGGCGATAAAAAATCGCTTCGCGGAAACGATCCATTATTTAATCTCACAGCTCGTTCACATACACGTCGCCAGTTATTTCAAGGCTCCTCAGGCAGGATAAAAACTAGCATTACGGATACTTGCCGCGCACTCCCCCGTCGTCACTCATTACCGCATAATCGCCGCCACAATTTCGCAGTGCAATTATATCTTTGTTCGCGTCCCGACGCCGCAAGTCATCTAGGAACAGAAACAAAGTCAAACAACGTACCTACCGTATGTAATCTACGAAGCGCTGACGAACATTATTGTAGGATCAACGCGGATGCGCGCAATCACTTTAATTGATTCGCGCGTATCGCTCGATAAATATCGGGATAAAAAAAAAAGGAAAAAACAGCATCGGAATGCTCGATCGTCAAGGAGATGTCCTGACACTTTTTTTCTTTTTTAATAAAAACCACGAAAGTCGTCGGTCTTGTAAGCGGAGGCAACAACCGCGCGCGCCAAGCGCCTCTCGTCATTTCGCATGAATAACACGAATAATGCGTTCGTGACGTACAAGACATTCGTATTACGCGTGTATCTGATCGCACCGGGAGAAACGACGGCCGCTTTTCATTTTCGCGAGTTCAAAAGCAGCGGAAAGATCCGCCGGAGATCCAAGATCTGTCAAGCCAGCTGAGCCGAGGACGGGCAGGCGAGCCCAAAAAGAGTGAGCCTCCTCTCGCAGCGGCCTCGTTACCTCTCGGTATGCAACGAGGAGGCAGCCGACTTGTTGCCAAACAATTCGCTGGTGATTCCCGTGCTCGCCGATCGCGACGACGACGACAACGACGACGACGGCGGCGATGTCACATGAGCAACGAGTAACGTATACGTTAACACGTGAACACGCTGTGCGAACGCGTGGATCGCTATGAAGCAACGAGGCGTGCATGTGTAACACAGTTGTATAAGTGATCGGTGCGTCGACCAGGTAGAAGAGTCATGATGTACATCATCGTGAATGAATCGCGACTGAATTTTCCGACTCGGAGTTTCCTCGATCCCGTCGCCTCGCGTCCCGACCGCTCGATCGCCTCGACTCGCCTCGCTCCCTTTAAACACCGGAAACCGGGTGGTGTTAACTTGTTTTATTTTTTTTTAATAATCGGGACATATCGGTCGAAATCAAATAGAAAGAGAGAAAGAGCGAGGAAGAGATGTTCGGGATGCCTTGCGAAGAGTGCATCGCGTGCCGTCTTGTAATTATGGTGATTCCTATTCGTTATGTACTTCTGTCGGATATTGAAATTTTTTTCTAGTAAGTGTATCGGTACGGCGAAATGGGAGTCGGGGGGGGGGCGGGATTTTGTTGTTGAAAACGCGCGATCGCGACGACATGTGAGTGGTGATCGAGGCGGATCGATTAGTCGGAGGCGAACATTGCATAATTACGTGATTCTTAATCGTCGCAGAGTAATCTCGTTGATGCGCGATCGTCTGAGCTAATATTTGCTCGTCGGATGCTCGTTCACGTTTGCACGACGACGTTTGCACAAGGCTGGATTCGTGTATCCTAGCATTCGGCGAGGGATAAGTATCTGTCAAGCCTCCGTCAAATTCTTTTTGTTTTTTATCGGGATGATTGAGATGACGAGATGCCGATGACAGACAGTGCGAAGCCAGCTTAACGCCTCTCTCGGTGTCCAAATTACAGATCGCCAAGTGCTGCTTCTGAGAAAGGAGGACACGCGACAGTGCTTCGACGATGTCGCGATGCAAGAGCCCGATTTAAGATCTCGAATCGCTGCGAATCAATCGGCCGATTGATCTTTCCGAGCAGTCCGAGGCGCGCGAGAAACGGAATACGGAAATCGCCCGACCGATGAGAGAACCCGGAGAACGCCAAGTCTGACCGCTCTCATTGATCGACGTTGCTTCTCGTAACGATTGGAAGGATCTTGGAAGAATCGGTCGGATTGACAACAATGGGTGAAGTTAATTTTATCAAGAAGACTGTCAGAAACAGAGTCCCCGCGCTGAAATGGTTGCCGCGCTACAAGGCGGAAGACGCGCTGGGTGACCTCGTTGCGGGCCTCACCGTGGGACTGACCTTGATACCTCAAGTACTTTCAAATCTACAGACATGAATGCATATAATCGTTCGCGGTGGTACCAATGACGTGATATATATTTTTTTTTATTTTTTCTAGGCGATTGCTTACGCCGGACTGGCTGGCTTAGAGCCGCAGTATGGACTGTACAGCTCGTTCGCTGGAAGTTTCGTCTACATCATTTTCGGGACGTGTCGGGAGGTCAACATCGGCCCGACCGCGCTCATATCTTTGCTTACCTGGACGTACGCAAGGTACGAACGTTTAATCTCCTCGTGGGAACGATAAAACGATAGTCTAAGCTGCCTATGCTGAGTGATTTCCCACGACGATTGCGATGGGTTACACTCATGACGATCATTGCCTCTTTTCTCAGGCGGGGTTCTTTCATCGCTGTCAATTAAAAAATGAAAGATCGATCGTTTTGATACTTGAGATTTTTCTTTGATACACGGACTGCCGAACGCAGATGAATATCGTTGCTGATTTGAACGTACAAACATCAAATCTTCTCGTGAGAGTGACAAAACGATGGTCCAAGCATTGTTCGGACTCGTTTTTTACAATTATAGCCGACTATATTCATGACGATTACCGTCTCTTATCCTTGAGTGGAGCAACGACTCTTTCATCGTCGTTGAATTTTCAAAAGCGCTCTCTGATTGCATGTTTGATATTTCTTTCGGCATACAGACCGTAGATGAATGTATGGACGGTAGTGTATCATTGCGTGGAAGTTGTGTTTAATCAGCTACCACAATACGTAAGTCCGGCTCACATTGAAGACACCATTACGAGTATAATTGACGTAACGATATCCTTTCCTCGCTGGAGACACCATCCAGAATCGCTACAGGAAAATGCGCCAATTGCGAGACCGTTCAATGCCGCGCAATCGACACGACAAAATAACGTGTTAAGTCATATTTTTTTCGCGAACGATCGCGACGAAACGTGGAAAAAGCAGCTTGACACGAGGAATGCGTGACATAACGCGCGAGAGATAATAGGTGACATTTTAGCTGAGCGGCTATAATTGAAACGGCATTTAATAGGAGCGATGTGTTTCAAAAATGATTTCCAGAGGAATTCCCGAGTACGCGGCCTTGTTGTGCTTCTTGTCGGGATGCGTGACGATCCTACTCGGCATCCTGCGCTTGGGATTCCTGGTGGAGTTCGTGTCGATACCGGTGGTGTCCGGGTTCACGTCGGCTGCGAGTCTCATCATCGCCTGCAGCCAGATCAAGGGCCTGCTAGGCCTCAGCATTCACGGTGAAAGCTTCGTCGACATATGGCACGAGCTGGCCAACAGCATCACCGACACCAAGATACCGGACTTGATCTTGTCTTGTTGTTGTATTCCGATTCTGTTGCTTCTTAAGGTGCATATATGTTCGATACACACATGATTCACACAGTGCTATCCTTCGTAAAAATTAGCGACACTTCTTCTTCAACGGAAATGTCGTAGATCATTATCTAATTTATAGGTCGTTACTTTTTTTTCTTTCCGTATGATACATCTCTCGAGGTAAGATTCCAATTCTGTTGAAGTCAAATCCACCGGAAATTGCTCGAAGAAAATAATTTCCTTTTTATTTCCCATTTTTTCGCTTGTATCTCAGAAATTCTATCGATGCTTCAACATTTTCGCTAAGGAAAAAATGCTAAATCTTCACAAAAAATAACACTTCGTTTTTATTCGAAGTAATAAGTGCGATCCCTGTTTTTTTCAGCATTTGAAGGATAAAAAAGTCAGCGATATCAAGCTGAAGAGGTTCCTTTGGACAATCGGTACGGCCAGAAACGCGCTCGTGGTCATTCTCTGCGCGGTTGCATCCTACATCTTCGAGACGCGTGGCGGTGCACCGTTCGTTCTCACGGGTCACATCAACGCCGGTCTGCCGAGTGTCGAGCCACCTCCGTTTTGGCGAAAGGTCGGCAACGAAACTGAGAGTTTCATCGACATGGCCAAGAACTTGAAGACTGGCATCTTGGTGGTGCCGCTGATTTCGATCATCGGGAACGTCGCTATCGCGAAAGCCTTCTGTACGATACTTTTCGATGTATACTCTATCCTCCTGTTCATTATCCGTAAGAACCTCTGTCTCTGAATGACCCTGATGTTTCGCAGCACGAGGCATGCCCTTAGACGCCACGCAGGAGATGCTGACCCTCGGTCTCTGCAATGTAGTGGGCTCGTTCTTTCATTCGATGCCCGTCACTGGCTCCTTCTCCAGGAGCGCGGTGAACAACGCTTCCGGCGTGCGGACTCCCTTTGGCGGCGTGTACACAGGTGAACTTCTCCGTGGAAATTTCAGCCGCAACGAGTTTACGAGACGCGACGTCACCCTGTAATAGACTATGAGCTGTATTAACTAGAACGGCGACTATGCAATTTCAGGCGTTCTAGTCGTACTCGCGCTGAGTTTATTGACTCCGTATTTTTATTACATCCCGAAGGCGACGCTCAGCTCCGTTATAATCAGCGCGGTGATATTCATGGTGGAGGTCGGTATGGTAGTTCCGCTTTGGAAGTGCAATAGTGAGTAATTATAAAGTAATTGATCGACGAGTTATTGTGGTCGTGGGCAAATTATGTGAAACAGAGGCACTCATGGGGAGATTATTAATTAATAATTATGTTAGTTTATACAATGCACTTAGATAAAATACCGTTATCATGTTTTTTTTCTTTTAATTGAGTCAATACTAATATCAGTCAAAAGACGCACACCGGTATTCTTAATTGCATAATGAAAAATGATTTACGCTTAAATATCTGCATCTCTCGACTCAATTAACAGATTGATTGTTCATTCATTGATGCCTGCATGTTTTACTATCTGTGTCAAAAAAATTGAATGTCTCCAATAACAAGCTGTTTCGTCTTTCCTGTAATTTTGTCATCTCGCCTTTGTATAGAACGTGATTTAATACCGGCGTTCGTGACATTCCTCGCATGCTTGTTCGCCGGTGTTGAGCTGGGAATCGTGATAGGTGTGACAATTGATCTTGCTATACTGATATACCTCAATGCACGACCAGCGATATATATCGAATACAGAAACGTAAGGAGTGAGCTCAAAGTTTTGTACGTTGAAGAGTTACAGCAAAAGTAAGAAATTTTTCTCCACAGACTGCGGCAGCGAGTTACGTGTTGGTGCGTCCTAGCGCCGGGCTTCTGTTCCCGGCGGTGGATTATCTGAGAACATATTTGACAGAGGTGTTGTCGAAAAAGTATCAGAGCTCTTTGAAAAATCCTAAAATCTTGATGAACGTCGTATTAGACTGCGAGCACATTGACAAGATCGACTTTACGGCCGCGCAGGTATCAAATCAATTAATCACATTTTTATCGATGCAGAAAATGATTGAAATAACATATAAATGCAAATAAAATACATCAAGAGTAATAGACGAATAAACGAGCCTCTAATTTATAATTATTACTTGCAGGGTATCAGTACGGTCGTGAAAGATTTTGACGATAAGAATCGTCAATTAATAATGCTGCGTCCAAATGGTGACGTGTTAAAAGGCGTACAATCGATGTTAAGCAAGCCCATTTTAATGGCGAAAAACGACGTTGATCTGCTTACCATTCTGAACGATTTAAAAACTGTAGAGCGATTTAGTCGAGACTCGAAGAATTTTATCGAGATAGACACCTCGAATTGTAAAATTGTCTCTGACGGGACGAATGAACTTATAACTACAAAATTATGATATATCTTGAAAATCTATACGATATAGTGTTGGATATAATCAAAATTTGTATTTATTTTCATAAAAATCTTCAATTGACAAAAATAAACTATATCATATCCGTTAACGATACAGCTTAAGCAAAAATAAGGTAGAAAAATAGAGTTTATATAGAATACAATGTTCTGTGTGTAATATTTTATGTTGTGTGTGAAATATTTTATCTTAAAATTACAAGAAATCTCTCTCAAGTGAGAAAATCTTACATGCTAAATATCTGCTGAATAACTCTCGCAATGACATCTTAATATAATAATTCTCGCACATCTACAACTTAAATATCTATGTTACTATAAAAATTTATCAACTTAAATTGAGAACTTAAATAGCTGTGAGCACATAGTTTCTCAAGTTACAAAGACACACAGTGAGCTTTGAAATACTCATTCACTCATTGAGTCTGCTCATATTGCTAGTTAACACAAATAAACATAATACTTCCTTCATTTTTGGCATTTGATTAGTGTTTCTTTTGTAATATTAAAATTAACTTTTTATCAAAACTTATAATTAACGTTCTTATAAGCCACGTTTCGTGGAAAGAAGAGAGAGAGTGCGAGAAACAACGAATTGTAACGAGTAAATAGATCGTGATAAATAGCAAATAATGTTGCAGTAGTCTCAGCGTTTAATTCTGAAAGCGTCAATTTCGACTGTCTTAGATATGTAACATCGCGCTTTTGCAAAAGATAAAATATATATATATATTAAAAGAAAAATAAATTTTTTTGCATTAATGTAAATAAACTTCATATCACAGCTCGCAGAAAAGCTAATTAAATCACATGTGCGTCTCTTACGTTTTGTAATAGTTTATATTTTCGTGTTTTGATTGGTCTTGGTGATACCACGACCAACACCGTTCGGAGACGCATACTCTCTCGGGTAATTTTGGTTATATGCTACATTTCTGCGGAAGCCGGAGTTGTATCTCTGGAACGACGGTTGGCGGTATCCCGTGTTCGCTCTTATTTTCAAATCCGGCTTAAACATGCGCGGCGGGAACTGATCGTTTTTGTTCGGTAAATTCACATTATTCGTCATGAATTCCTTCGGCGATATAATCGGTGGAATATCTTCGAGACTGTTGTCCTCGCAGACAAAGTCCTGCGTCTTCTGATCTTTCGGGCTCTTCGGCGGAGGCTGCGTGAAATTCATATTTTGCTTATAATATTTCGAACCTGGTGGACCGTAGACGTTATACTGATTCACAGCCGCAGGCACGAAAGCATGTGACGGTGGTGGTTGTTGTCGTTGTTGTTGTTGTTGCTGTTGCGGTCTTGGAATTGAATGCGAAGCGGGTGCCGCGTACTGAAGAACGTCGTAGGCTGTCCGGTAATTGTCCGGATACTTTTTATAATACCGATTGGATTTCATAGGAGCGTCGTCAGCAGTGGCGGTCCTCGTTTCCACCGTGCAGTTATTCAAATCGCAACCATATATACCCTTCATATAGTTCGAATTCGCATGCATTTGCATCGCGGAATTGCCGGGTACATAATGAATATACCTGTGCTGCGGCTGCTCATGCATGCATACTGACACCGGGGCGACACTGCCGTCGTTGTAATTGTTCGGCTGACCGGCCGCAGCATGGTTAGGCAGCATCGTGTAGTTGGTGCATGGGGGATTGTGGAAGACGGGTGTCGGGTAGTGCAACTGTGAATTCCAACTTTGCATACATGTTGGTGCATAGAGCAGCGAATTGTGCGGCGGCAGGCAATTTGTCGTCGGCACTTGCACGCTGCTAAAGTCGTCCGGTCCGAAGGTCGCGGCGTTGTAAACGTGCATTGTCGCGGGCTGCGTGGTGTTCGCGAATTGCTCCACGTGGAAGCCATCCTGCAACGAAAGATTCCATCTACTGATATGACCTACTGGCACAGAGTGGCCGGTGAAGTCCGACAGTGGCGTGTAAGGTCTCTGCTGCACATTCGGCGCGTATCTGTGCGGCATGCTCGAATTCTCTCGACTGTCGCTCATCGCGTCGAACATAGGCGTGGACGTAGAGTCGCTGTTGCTCGGGACCGCTTGCACATTGTACTCGTACGATGCCGCGTCGAAGACGTTCGAAATCTGCGACAGCCGCGTCGTGTCGTTCATCGGCACGCGTTGCTCGTAAAATCGCTCACTGTCCATTTCCCGCAATGACATCTGTCTCATGTGGTTTTCCGTTTGCATGACAGTTTGCTGCGAATGCATATTTTGAACAGATTGCAAACCTACGATCATTGCGCTCTTCTGCTGCATTGGGTCGGACATATCGTTCCAAATAATTTGATTGTTCTTCATTCGATTCGCGTCCTGTGTCTGCTGCTGCGTGTCTTCCGGCTTGAATACATGCTGACTTATCGGATAAGTCTGCGATACTGTGTAACTCTTATTTAAGTGTAAGCCGAACGAGTCCTTTGATGGCTTGACCTCTTCGTAATTCGCTTTATTGTTCACATCCGTTGGTTGTTGACTTGCAACGGTTCTAACGTTGTCGACCGCTTTTTCATTCTTACAACTTTGTTCTGACGTTACAGCTATCTGTTCCGCGCAATCCTCATTGTTTGCAGGTTTCTTACCTTCTGTGAAATTTGCGTTATCTTCATTGTTACAAATCGACGTGCTTGTTTCATGTATATTTGCCAAGCTTGTATTTGCTAGTTGCATGTCTCTGTCTCCCTCAAACTGCTGTTGCTGTTGCGTATCAGCCTCCAAATTACTTGCACAAAGTCCGTCAGTTCTTATGTTTGTGTTGGGAAGTGTGTCGGTCGGTGGTGGGCAGTCTCTTTTTACTTTCGTAACAGTTGTGTACTCGGCGTTACCAACGAGCTCCTTATCAGGTGTTGTATTATTACGAGCGTACAGTGGGTTTCTTCCGTAAGTTGCAGAATGTCCGACGTTTCCTGACATGTTCTTAGTTTTCATGGGTTTTGACAAATTCGAGTTTTTGCAATGTGCAACAACCATATTATTAGCAATATAGGGTTTCTGATCGCTCGAAAAATTCTTGTCGCCATTCTTCTTCTCGGATTCGCGTGAAGATGAATTGCAATTTTTAGATGTATATGTTGCTTTCTCTGGAACTCTGTTTTTATCAATAGTACGGTTATGCGCGGATGATGGATTACTTCTTGAAAACTCCTGCCCTTTGAATTTCGTTGTAAATGGTTTTGTAGTTACTCGTTGTTGGATTTGCAACGTTTTATCCTTACTTGAGGAGGAAGTACAGGGTGAAGTACCTTGTACTTTCTGATCGCTCTGGCTAACATCGGTTGATTTATCAGACTCTTTCTCAATATTTGTCTTTGATAAAACCAACTTTGGAACAATATCCTTTGTTTTATTTTCTACTCCTTTAGTTGGAACATTGTGTTGTTCATCCTTCATGCAGGAATGTTTCTTTGTAAATACATGTTTATTGTTGACTCGTTCAGGCTTTCCGTATTTGTCAGTAGAAGGCGATTTTGATAGATTGGAAAGCGACCTCTTAGAATTAACAGAGAAAGGTTTTTCGTTGCAACATTTAGATAAAGTTGCATTACTTGCATTCTTGACATTTGTTTTTAATGCAGTAGTGGATTTCTTTATGCAAGCATCTAATAGAAAGAAACAAAATAAGAGAATAAGTAAATCCATTTTTTCGATAAATATACGTTACAGATCAACATACCCTTATTCTTCATTTCCATTGATGTTTTGGTATTTTCTGATGGCTCTGGTGTACTTTCTTTTGACACATCTAACACTATAGGTTTGGCATTATTATTTTTGTCTGCATTTTCTATTAGATCTGGCTCTTTTATATAATGATCAATATTTTGCAGCTCAGAAAAATTCGGACATGTGACATTCCTAATTACATATATATAAAGTATTATGATGAAATAATATATACTACATAATTTGGACATTAATTTCAAAGAAATTAAAAATTTTCTATTTACTTACTGCATCTCATCTTTAAGAATACTTTGCAACATATTTTTTTGATCTTTCAGTTCCTTATCTGCATGGCACTGCTCTTCCAGCTGTGTTGTTACAAGATTTTCCTGGATAGGTTTGCTTGATATTTCTTCTTCTTCAACTTTTTGCATAATCAATGCATGAGCATTTAGTAGCATATCAGGTGTATCCGTATCTTTCTTCCATAAATTTGTATTACTTTTAGCCATGGGGTCAGTAGATAAATCTTTCACACATGTATCCATTGTTAAATGGTGATCACAAGACTCTTCAGATAAATTAACCTTGCTATCTTCTATCGTCTTATCTTCTACTTTATCATCCTCATCGTGACTTCTCCTTTGCTTATAAAGAATTTTTGCTTTTACACTGTAATCATGTAATATCAATATAAAAAAATAACTTTAAAACATAATATGATACAATATCATAAAATATACCTTTGACCCATCCATTCATATCACAGCTAACAAAAATTTATATATATATAAAGTAAATATTATAATATACATTACAATATAGATCATTAATACAGCTTATTCCAGAACCTATATTAAATTCTCATTGTGACAGTTTTAGAGTCAAGATATAACATGGACAAGGAATAAGATTATTATGTTCTTATATCTCTAAAGTGTAGTCCACCTAGGGATTTTTTAATTCTATATTCTATAAAATACACATATCCCTAATATTCATAGCTGTGAACACGATAATTCTGAAGTATTCTGTATATATATATAATACAATAAGATATATACTCTGTTCATATATATGTAAAATTTTTCATATAAAATACAAATATGATAAATTTTACATGTATCTAAATAGGACTTCACATATACTGAACAAAAAAAATATATATGTATATACTGTAAAATAAGTGATAAAGATTAAGGAAAAGATATTAAGCAAGAGGATTAAACGTACGGGCTTGTTGAATGGGATGTATTTTTCAGCCATTGCATGTTATGTAGTTTGCTAACCATTGCCTCTCGCTTTATAGCAGAGGTCTTTTCTAAATCACTAGCTGCCAAATCCATTATACCTATCACAAAACACATATACTAGATAATAAGACTAAATATCTCTATATTTAATATTCATGCGATTTGGCTATGTTATTTTTTTATTTAATCTTAGAAAACTTTCCTATGTCTTCATCTACAGAAACATTTCTTATATCCTTTTCAAAACGCCCCAAGAAATTCTGTGAAGTGGTACTGTTGATGTTATCAGTATGACATGGTTGCAAAAAAAAGAACACAATAAGAATTATAAAACTAATTACCGATCCTACAGATTAATGTTGCAATTTGGACAGGAAGAAAAAAAGAGAATCTCTGCCACCTCCTTATGATTAATCTACCTTTTACAAAAAACGATCGCTAATGTATCCGGTCTCTAACGTTATCTCTCGGTACAAGCATAAACAATGAACATCGGCGTGTTCGACACGTGCGTGTATGTGTGTGTGTATGTGTTGTGTGTGTATACCGGCACGTCAAAATTCCAGTAATGAAATTGAAGATTCTCGCGTGATCAACTTAATAATACAAATAAGAGCGCATCTCACCTTGCTCATAAACAGTTGCAATATTCAATACACAGAGTAATATATAGGTGCCCATAAATCAAAAAGATCTTCGTTACTAATCTGATAGACAACAGACGCCATAAGCATACTGACCACAAGGAGATTTCAAAAATTTCTCCGTTGTTTACCCAACACACCGATTGGCTATCTTGTAGCATGAGCATAGCGCTATCGAAGATCTACGATTTCTTTCGAATCCCGTTTATTCTGTTTTATCCACAGACTTCTATACCATAATATTAGATCGATAAAATAGGTCTGTTTTTTATCGTTGAACTAGTATACACTCAGGAAATATAAAAAGAAATAGATATACATCTAGGAGTTAGTGAAAGGGAGAGGAGAAGAGAATAAGTGCAAGTTAGTGCAGCCAGTTTAGCAATAAAAAACAAACCTTTTTAACACGTACCGTAAAGCCCGTGTCACACTACGGATCGAAGATACTTCTATATTTATTATACACTAGACTGATACTACATCGAAGATCAAGGATTACGGATTGAAGATTAGATTTCGACAAATCAACGAACTTCGGTTTTGATTTACTTTATTCCGATTGGTCAAATTTCAATCTTCAATCCGCAATCCTTGATCTTCAATCCGTAGTGATGTATGATTATGGCTGTATGATTATAGTATGATTATAGCTAAACAACATAAAATTACAAAAAGATGTTTTAAGAACATCCAAATGACGTTCTATCTTTTTTTAAATGTGTTTAGACACATACATGATATTTTGGAGTATTTTGTGTTATCTGGACGACTTCACGAGAAATTTTTCACTTTTCACTCTAGGGGAAAAGTTACGTGATCAATACCCAAATTACGGATTGGAATTGAATATTGGATTGAAATTTAACCAATCAGGGCTAAGTTTATTATATTTGAGATTATTTTCTTTTTTCTAATTGATCAAATTTCAATCCAATCTCAATCCCAATCCATAGTCTGATACGGGCTTAAAAGTATGTATATTTTTAAAAGTATACTAAAATTCCACGCATGCGCATTGCAAGGGCCCTAAAAGAATATAACTGCACCATACAGACATTTTTACTTCAGAAAATATTAATATTTATCCAATATTTAATACTTCCTCTTGCAATATCACATTCAATGACACATTCAATGTTCATATAAATATTAAATATTGGATAAATATTAACATTTTCTGGAGTAAAAATGCCTGTACGGTGCAGTTATATTCCTTTCAGGCCCTTGCAATGCGCACATGTATATCGATATTTTAATTGGTCAACAAGGTTTTGTGCCTCCATCGAATCAACCTGGTCACGTGATCAGTTTGCCGCTCTCTTCCTATAAGGCTCTCTAGGCGTAACCGGCCCGGTGGTCGCTCTCAGGTTTCTCTTTAATCTTAGCTCAAGCAGCCGAGAAGTCAACCATCTGAACTTGTCGATAACGACATGCCGATGCGTGCAACACCTATATGCGACTCCATTAACTACAGTACTGTCACAGTACAGTAGCCAAAGCCATTAGTACAAAGCCATTCCCACACTCAAATATGAGACTTGCGGGCAATCACGTCCAGAGGGTACAGACTCCCCTCTTGAGAAACGAGTGACAAGTTTCAGCGCCACCATGGTCTTGACCTGTGGTGCGATTCTGTAACTCGTTATTGGAGTTAACGACACTTCCGTTATCGTTGCGCAGCTTTTGTATACCGTAGAAAAGCTGCGCAACGATTCTTTCTCTCTTTTTCTCTCTCCTTCCACGGGTTCTTTTAAAAAATTAAATCCAACATGGCAACTGCCGGGTGGTATTGGCGGGATCAACTGTGCTGTCCTCGGTCTCTTGACCAAGCCAAAGGCGAACTAATTATTTTCGTCACCAGTAAAACAGTGAGATTTAAGACCTCTTGATCACGTTGCAATCAGTTTTATCTGACCATAGAACTGCATGAGAACGGACAAAGATAGTGGAACTGATTTATTGTCGATTATACATTACCTTTCGAATCGTCAACAGAATTTTACATGAGATAGATTACACCAGTATTGCTGAAACGTCCATTAGAATGGAGGATGATACAAAAGAAGCTGCATCGGAAACAATGTTGCGAAATTTATTTTGTAAAACACGAAAGGGATGAAATACATCGTCAGATCCAGAAGGTACGTACAAAGTCTGGTATAATAGCCTTAATATGTAATATAATTAGGATTGTTAAAAGTTTTCGAATATACTTTTAGATATTGAAGTGAAGCTATCACAGTCCTACGCAAATAAGATCACTGTTGGTAGATGTATCAAATTCTCACGAATCGTATTTTCGAATAATATTTCTGTACCTCGACAGGAAAAGAATACCTCTATTCTTTTATTCTTTTTTGATTATAAAAACCTTCAAATTTATAAATCTACAAATTCTGCTCGAAAAGAATGTGGACACTGTGATAACTGCATTTTATACCATCATCGAATGTATACATCTATGCAAGATATATTCCGAAACCGATATTATAAATTGAATTGTAGTATTAAAAAAAATCTATAGTATATGTAACGTATACCATAGATTTTTAATAAATTGCATATTTCGGTACGCTATAAAGTGGTTGTTTTGTCATGTTCGATTGTCGATTCTAGTTCAAGTCGTTTGATCTCTGTTAAACAGACTCGCGAACATATTCCATTCTGCCTGAATTTTTTCCGATAGCTTCATCATGATCAATTGAAAATCAATCGCATCCTCTTTATCTATGGTGGAGTTTCTTATTATGAAGTCCTTCACCTGAAATCAATTATTTCGATATTCATTGAATATCGAATATTTTAATGCCCCACCCAAAATAACTCTTCAGTATTGAAGTTTCAAGGAAAGTGATCTAAATAAAAGTTGCAGGGATTTAAGTGAGCTACTTTATGATGACCTTGACTTTGACTTTGACATCTATTTTCAAGGTCATTTAAAGATCAACTTGGTTATAAAACATTTCAATAATAATATATTTTTATATATGTTGTGTTATTATAATATAACTCCAATAATTTGACAATTCTGATAAAGATGCTTTTTAAAAGGAAAGATCTTAAATAGAAAGAAAGAGGAAGGATCTTGTTTTCAGTTTTCGGTAGTATCTAAATTGCAATTCTTTTCCTCTTTAAACTTCAACGAGAAAGAAAAAATGTGCACTCGCCTTGTTCATCGGACATTCGCGCCGGTTAAAATATAATACAGAAAGAATTAAAAATCGTGAAATCAACCTTTTGAAATTGTTTCGCACGATATATATATTCGGATGACGTTTAATATTGACAAATATTTACTGCAAAATTAGGATAAAATCATCATTAGCATATATATTAAATTCCCGTGATTTTCGCGAATCTATGTTAACGTATCTTAAACAAAAAAACACCAATGTTTAGCAATGTAGTTTGCAATACCAAAAAAGTATCGTAGTATTCGAACGATAATCGTGTCCTTACGCTTTGAAAAATCACTGGATACTAACAACAATGTCAATAATTCTAATATCCTTTATTTGTTTGGCATTCCGTTATGAAAAAAACTTGACATGCCTTTTCGCTTGAAAATTTAAATCATGCTAGAGATTCAAGACACAAGCAGCATCCTGGATTAATGTCATTTTACAAGAACAACCATTGCTCCGATATTTCAACACGAGGTCTTCTTCGTCCTTACAACTTTCGTAGCGTGGTGCAATAGGAATAGAAGCAGCATTGAATAGTGTCGTCACATAATTTCGGTCGTTGGTTACACCACGAACACCCAGGCGAGACCAATTGCTCCGTTGACATTTCGTAACGGAAATCCGTTAGGAGGACGAAAAAGTGGAAAATTGTCAATCGCCAATTTAGCAAAATTTCTCGAAAGTAATGCTGCTGTTCGCGCGATCCTCCTACGAAGATTCGCGATTTGCGAGCCACATATTTTCCAGTCATACTAGATATTTAAAATTCATAATATTTATAATGACAACAAGAAAATAGAGGACGGTCTCCAATTGAATATTCGTCTATAACTGCCGAACGTCTATATTTCTCATAAAATGAAAACAAAACTAAGTTTATGTGCTTGCTCGCATTTCCACCGACGACACGTAGAGGAAGATTTCCACGGCGTAGAAAAAACACAGTCCAAGACCGTAGCGAGCGCGAAAGTAGAGAAAATGAAAGAAAAAGCGCTCGACCCTTGATCTTCCGCGAAAATAGAATTAACTGGACATTAATTATGGGGGAGAAAGTCGCGTGGATTCCCTGAGGATACAGGAGGATATGTTGAGACATAATGTAATAATGAAAATATTACCCACCGAGTGAGATCGATGGAACTCGTCGGCGTAATTCTGCCGCGAGACTCACCGAATTTCGTAAGCAAATGATGAAAACAATAATGATGGGAAATCTTAATTAATACACTGGCGTGACGATCGTTGACTCGCTTGTGACATTTTTATTTTCGCCAGCGCGCATTGCCGCCTGACATTTGGTCACACCTTGTGACTGCAGGGACGCAGCTATGAAAACTAATTAACACGTTGTCGTCTGATTTTTGCGACTGATTCTTTCGACGATGATCTTCCCTCATTCCAGAGAACGACGGAACGAATTGGCAAAATGCTCGCTATTCATTTTCGACGACGTCCGATCACCTAAACGTAAACGTAAAATCTATGAGCTCGAAGGAACGGGGGCGTGAAAGTGACAGAAGTTATTTGTTTTTTACCGCAAAGAAGCTCCACGTTCGCCCCTGGAGGGTGAATATGTGCCAGCATCTCAAGCATGACCCTCATATAATAGGTGAAACTTGGGAAATTAGAGAGCCACTTTCGTGTCTTCTCCGCAGCGAACGGTCAACGAATTCGTCGCGTCTCGACGTCGGAACTGATTTGCATAATTCGAGAACTCGGCGCCCGAAGCATTTCGAACTTGACTGGGAAGTGCGTCAAGTATTCGAGGCCTCTGATTCGGACATTTTCATCCGTCACTACTATGACGCGCCTCCTGATCCTCTCTGTCGTCTTGGGTGTTTGTTGTGCGTTGGCGGAGAAAACTGAACTCCAGACTACAAGCGAACTTTCGAAGAAAATCTCGAAGGAAGATCGACTTCCGACGAGCGTCGTTCGCGCGAAGAACTCGTCACAGCTGATCCTCGATACGAACGATGACGAAGAGCTGAAGAAGACGGATAAAAAGCCAAGAACCGTCATACATCGTGACTCGAACGTCGATTCAAGAGATAAGTCAATATTCTCGACCTGACGATAATTTCTTCTTGCATGTTTTTGCATTTCTAAGTTAAAACACAACAAATAATACCGGTTTGCGTGAAGGATTTTTTTCCGTCACTATAATTATTTCACTATGCGATTATGATTATACCTAGACAGCACAATCTTCTTCAAAAAAAGGAAAAAGAATGCCTAAAAACGGCCTACACTCTTTTTAAATGTTTTTAAGATGTCCTGCAGGAGTCTGTATTGTCTGAAAATGGTCACAGATGGCAAGATCGTGTAATCGACGGGCATCGTTCGACAATTCGGATTACGGGATATTTTTGCTTGCAAGTTCCAGCTGCTGCGACACCAGACACAGTTCCAGCAGATTCGCGCGACCCGACCACAATTACAACAAACTCCCCTTGGAGAGCGGACGGTATCCTTCCCAATATAACGAGCGATATCCTATCGACAGGTAACGATTAACATTTTGTCGACTATCTTCCCATATGCGCATAGAAAGTTGAAAATTTCGGGCCTTTTAATTCCAAGTGCGATTTAATTTTAGATATGGGTGGCAAACTCAAGCTCCAGCTCGACCTCCAGCTTCCACCACGAGCGGCGGCGGCAGACCTTCGGGAGGCGGCGGAAGTTACGGCGGAAGCGGAGTTTACGTGGGGAGCCAATCGAGTGACAGGTAAATCTTTCTTCAAGGTATATTATCCTTCAGCAGGGAATTATTCGCTACCAATTAATTCTTAGCGTTTGAATGTCTCGAAGTATTGATACAATCGTATAAATTCTAAGGGATATTTCAAAAGCATCAGGAAAAAATCTGCAAAAGAAATAGGGCGTCTTTAAGACATCTTTTAGAACTCGTTGCTACCTGCTCAATCATCAATCGTTTTTCTTCAGTTATTAGTCTTTCAATCATCTTGTAGAAGTTTATGATAATTTCTCAGGTAGCTCAGGTAACATTACAATTTTATTAATGTACTTGCACTTGTGCACGGAAACGCCAGGTTTGGACCACGACCGGTGTACGGAAGTGAGGGCACTAGCAAACCTTTGAGCTACGGCTCGGGAAACACCGGCGGCTACGGCTATAGCTCAAACGGTTACGGGAGCTACGGCAGACCAACCGGATTCGGAGGCAGTGGCGGTGGCTATGGGATTTCGGGAACCTTAGCCGACGGTGATGAATTCGGTCCTGGCGATCCCGTCTTCTCGGATGGTAGTGTGCCGCAACATCCCGGAAATATTCAGGCGCAAAAGGTACAAAAGGCACGCGTGCGCTCGTTAATTAATTGTTTTATGAGTCACATATGTGATGGGAAAACAGAATTCACCGAACGATGCGTAAGAAAACAATTATATTAATTAATTTATTTGTCAGGCTGTGGCTTTGAAAGCTCTAGCTGGTGTTGCGTTGATCGGCGCAGCGGCAGCGTTAGCTTCGAATCCGGTGCTTTTACCAATCGGCATTGTGGCAGGGAGGAGAAAGAGGTCGGAGAGCTTCTATGAGGACGTGCAGTCCGAAGTTCAAATGGATTACATCGTGAACATGCTGAGAGAACATTTGGCTAAAGTATACCCATGTGTCTGTGACGTAATTCTTTTGCACACAGAAGCTTCGCTAAAATATTGACTCCTTCCGCAATCAGATACAAAAAGGCGGTTCCAGCAACCGACTGATCGTCTCCCCAAGATGCGTCGCTAGACTTACCTGCGAGATCCAAAAGAATTACCTCTCCGACCTCAACAAGGACGTCGAGATCGTGAACACGCAACGGAGACAGTACCTTGCCGACTTGTATGTGATTTTCTCGATATACATTCATTCAAGTATTCAAGTATGTTCCATTCCCGTTAATCGTTCGACTTGAATTTCTTGCAGAATACGAAACAACGTGCTCAACACCGCATCCGTGAGCACGAACGTGAAGAACCTGATCAAATTAGCTGTCGACGTCGCGACAGAGGATAGAAACTGCAACATGTTCACCTGTAGTTACATAAGGAAAGGTTAAATGTGTGAAGATTGCTTTAAAGTATCGTATTATTACATATCGTTTGTTCAATCGTTTCACAAGTAAATAAACACGCGTATACATAAACGGGAATGTGAAATTATTCGATACGATCGTCGATGACATAGTATCGTCTTGGTATTACAACTCAAAAAAAACATTTTATTTGAGATTCATTCATTCGTTCGTTGTTCATTCTGTTCCACGACTTATGTATGCGATCGTGCACATGTCGCAGAAAGGAAAATTTTTTAACGTTTCCAGCAGAGGTAGAATATTTTAGAAGATAAAATAATATGTAAGAATGAAATTTTTCTCGATGTTTTAATTACACACAGGTCTAACTTAAGAATAAATTAAAGATTTTGATTAAATGTATTTAATTAAGTAAATCATCTAAAGGTAATTAAGAAAGTACCCAAAGATAATTGGGTAAATTAAGATAATTACTCAATAAATAAATATCATTCAAAATGCTGATTTCTTTCGCCTCGTTTCATCGATTCTATTAACTGCATTACGCGATTAATTATATCTCATATAATTCGATGAGACGCAGTGATATCATAGGATTGGTTTTCAGCCACTATCGCAGTATTCGATGTATTTATAATCTTAAGAATATTTTAATTAATTTTAGCAATAACTGAGTTTTATTCCAAAAAATTATAGGGTCTTTGAACTCGAAGACACTCTTTTCTCTTTGTGAATACAGCACAGAATAAACGAAGACCGATAGCGCATTATCCACCGAGAGAATTCAGTGGCACTCACGATTGCATATTTCCATGTTGACGTTTCATAGTTGGCGCCTCGAGATGCATAACTTGCAAAAAGTCCGCGAGAATGCGACACCTCCACCTGCTGATGCAGGGTAGAGGGTAGAGCAGTGTGCGTGCATAACGACATGATACGACGTGAGGCGAAAAAACAAAGTATAACTGACGTGTCCTAATAAGAAACAACGTGGCAATACGGTAGTATGGTCGCTTGAGCTCTCAGTATTCGCGTGCTTTTCACTGAAACCGCTCACTTTCGTGCGTTTCTCCCACACGTTGATGCTCGCAATGCTCATTCAAAACGCGACGAAAGTGAGCGAATCAGTGTGATACACCTGTTCGCTTCCGATTTACAAGTTTCGAGTGAAGGTTATGTTCTCGGTGGTCGCGTCTTCGGTCACGTCCCGTGAAGGTTGACTCAAATCACACGCCTGTTCGCTGTTTATAATCAACGTGTCGTACAACCGCGAAAGCCACACCGATGCCCGCGACCACGTCATTGCAATATGCGGTGACGAGTGCGGATTCTAACTCATTAGATCATCGGCGATAACCTTGAAAATCGTCGTCTAACAAGGCATTTAACGTGTAAACGTGGCACATAATTATCGCGTCTAACGCAAACTTGCGAGACCAGGTGCGCAAAGAACGTATGGATTGTCGTTGACCCGTTGAACTTCGCACGGCTGTCAGCATGAGGAGGAAACTGGATAAGGATGACAGCGTGGAGGACGGTATCGTCGACACAAACAACGTTCAAGAGCCTTCCGATTTGCGAGGCGACGAGAAAAACATTGCGATTTTGTTCTTCTTGTATTTGCTGCAGGGAATCCCACTGGGACTATGCGGCTCAATTCCTATGTTGTTGCAAAATAGAGGGGTTTCCTATCGGCAACAGGTATACAAGAGCTTTACGCCTGATCTACAATATGCTCCTGCTTCCTACTTTGCTTTATCTTTTTCTATCTTGAGACATAGGGTTTAAGTCAAAAAGAAATAAAGAGAAAGAAACAGAAAGCAAAGAGCATATTGTAGATAAAGTATTATGGTAGGCTGATACATGATTAGATCACAATTAACATAGACAATCATATCTGAGTGATAATTTAAAGGAAATATAGATATGATCTCATCATGTGTTCCTAGATTATATTTTATGGCTGTAACTTAGAAGACAGGACGGTGTCCATTTTTGTATGATTATATTTGACAATGTATGAATATTTTAGAATCAACAAATTTCTTAGCTTCAATGATAGAGTTACCAAAGAACTTTAAGCTTGTATATAGATCGAGTAGATAATGATGATTTGACGTATTAATAAATGAAATAGAAAGTGAACCAAACATAAAGCAATAATTTGTTTTCATTGTCACAGGCAGAATTTAGTTTTGTACAGTGGCCATTCTCATTGAAACTCTTTTGGGCACCCATAGTAGACTCGATTTTCTCCAAAAAGTTTGGCAGAAGAAAAACATGGTTAATCCCAACCCAGTATCTAATGGGTATGTTCATGCTCCTTCTGTCGAATTATGTCGATTATTGGTTGGGTAAAGAGCATGAGAAACCAAACATCGAAATGTTGACTGCGTTATTTTTCGCTTTGAACGTGCTCGCCGCAACTCAGGATATCGTGGTAGACGGCTGGGCGCTCACGATGCTTAAAAGGTACCTTTGCAAAATATTTACCTTATATATAAATGCGCGCACACGCACACACACATACACACACACACACGCGCGCGCGCGCGCGCGCACACGCACGCACACGCACGTCACGCGCGCGCGCGCATCACAGGCTTGTCATAAGATCCGAGTTATTTGTTTGTCCAGGTGCAATGTTGGATATGCGTCCACTTGTAACAGCGTCGGCCAAACAGCGGGTTATTTCGTCGGTTATGTTCTTTTTATTTCACTGGAATCTGCCGAATTTTGCAACAATTACCTGAGATCAACCCCTTCGGACGAAGGCATTCTGACTTTGCCTGGTAAAAAGTGCTTAGTAATCAAGATAGTTGCCTATGTAGATGTATTCAAATGTATTTAGAAATCTATGTACCCGAGTTTTGCAACAAGTAACACCATTTCTTACAGGGTTCCTGTATTTCTGGGGCTGGACTTTTATCGTCACGACGACATTCATAGCATTATTTAAGCACGAAGGCAAAGGTAGAATCCCGAGGGGGGAGGAGCTGAACATGGATATTAAGCACGCATACAAATTGTTATGGGACATTGTAAAATTACCAGCTATCAAGACCACGATTATATTTCTATTGACGGCAAAGGTTAAATGTCACGATATCAGAAACAATAGCATGTAGAGATACGTAAAGCTCGTCATATTCATTATTAATTTTGCACCGCAGATCGGATTTTCAGCGTGCGACGCAGTGACTGGATTGAAACTCATAGAAGCTGGTATACCGAAGGAAAAATTCGCGTTTATGGCGGTGCCCATGATACCGCTGCAGATCATCTTGCCGTTGGTGATCTCAAAGTACACCGCTGGACCAAGGCCTATGGACGTTTATGTGAAGGCTATGCCTTATAGGTAATTAGGTTTATTTTTAGCTGAACTAGGTTGCGTTATTTTGGCCTGCGAAGCAAAATAGCGTTGAAAAGAAAAGGAACGAAGTTCCAGTGCAACATTAATTCTGCTAAAAAGAACAGGTCTATCGACACGTTCGTTCGATTCGGGAAAATTTCACTCGAACGAGTTTGTAAACTTATTTTGAAATACAGGTTGATGTTCGGCGTAATAGCCGCGTTTTTGGTGTGGGTTACACCGCTGGTGATGATCAACGGACACGTGCCTGCATATTACTTCGTTGTGTTGATAGGTCTCTACTTCATACACCAGGTGAGTGTTACATAACAAAATGTGCATGAATATGCAATATGCATGTTTAATTTTGTCGATCGAAGTTCACATAGTGTTCCTAGAACGTTCATCTTTGATTATTCATAAAAGGTTATATAACGTTCCTTCTTGAAAATTCAGATATCCGCAAGCAGCATGTTTGTGGCGTCGATGGCCTTCTTCGCGAAAGTAAGCGACCCGGCGGTTGGCGGCACCTACATGACGTTGCTCAATACTTTGTGCAACCTCGGCGGAAACTGGCCCGCGACGGCTGCACTTTGGTTCGTCGATCCCTTGACATTTAGGCAATGCAGCACCGACTATACAAACGACTGCAGCACACTGACAGAGAGAGAGGTTCGTCGTTCAACGTCTTTCTTATAATTATACATTGTTCAAAGTAATTAGAAGACTATTTCCTCGAGCTTTGTCACAGTATAAACAAGTACAAATCCAAAGCCATGAAGATAACGTCTATTATATTTTTTTAGCTCTGTGCGAATACCGACAACGGCACTTGTGTGATGCAGCTCGACGGTTATTACATAGAAAGTATTCTCTGCTTAATTATTGGTATCTCTTGGCTCAGGTGGGGCCGTAGAAAAATTAACGCGTTACAGGCTGAGCCGATGTCCGCGTGGAAAATCGTACTCTCCCGTAATAACAGATAACATATCAATCGTCGTTACGAATCCGTTAATATCAGGTACCTGTAACCCATTATTCTTCGACGAGTTGATGCGTATGTACATGCCGCATGTTGGGATGCGCCATTTCCTGCACGTTTAACCAAGTGTTCCAATTTTACAAATCGGGCACGGGGCGAAATTGAATTGATAAACGATTTATTCGTCTTGGAAAGTACAATGTATGTTATTATTATGGAATATGTACAGAATAGACAGAGATCCCATAAGAATAATCGTGGTATAACGTTAGAAAATAAAAAAAATGAATACGGCTTATATAAAAGAAAAGTGTAGATCTCTGATGATTCTCATCCTTGTTTCGTTTGGGCACAAAATTTTAGTGATGTTGAAATGCATTTGGTATATAGTATGTACAGTATACAGTATGTACATATACATATATACATGTAACATATACGTATATATTTATTTATTTGTCAAGCAGTCGAAAAGTGCATATTTTTCCAAATGCCTTGTTACGAAAAATGTAGTGTTACTTTAAAGTTGCTGAAGAAATGTTACTTTTTTTACATTTACAAAGCATTATTAAGTATTATTTAAGCTTGAATATTTGCGGTTGAATTCGCGACTGTCATTCCACGAAGATTATTGTATTATGGCAAATACAATATGATTATGATTTCGCACACGCGATATTATACGAATGTTTCATAGAACTTTTGTAAAAAAAAAACTGATGAACATGATATGTGCGACGCGTATTCGCAGTTTGTATTGTATATGTATCTAAATACATATTTTGCGCATAAAAACGGAGAAAAATTACTGAACATAGAATACTAATAAAAGTTTTTGATATACAAAAAGTTAAGGTCGCTGCGCTTCATTGAGGATCACCAGTGCACCTTCCTAACAAAAATATAGCTCTGGTATGGATATAATTGCGGGTATAAGACAGTATTGTAAATAAACTTGACTAAAAATCAACTTTTTAGTCAAGGCTCAATCTACATTTAACCAAGACTCAAACCATTTAGATGAGCTCTTAAATAGGCTGCATTCCGATATTCACTGTCAGCACTGAGAATCTATAATATACGTGACGCATACTATGTATTTTCAGTACTGACAGTGAATATCGGAACACAGCCATAAAAGGTCTGAAATATTGACCCATTATTTCGACGAACCAATAAGAGATCTACAATATTCAATCTTACGGGATATTAGACCCGTTACTTTATTTAAATTTATATATATTCCTCTATATATAATCCTTTTTATTAACATGATTTAACTTTTGTAAATAATTTTTGATCATTAATATAAATTTATGTATATTCCTCTTTTATGTGTAGTTGTATGGATATTATTTCTTAAGCCAGCAGCACACGGTGCTTGTTTTCGTCCAGCAAGCAATCCAGCACGAAAACAAGGACCGTGTGCCGCTGGCTTTAATGCAAATAGCAGGTCTGAATATTTGGCCAATCCTGATTTCAGTAGTCGAATAAAGAGTCTAAATCCGACTTCATCTTCCGATTGAAGTTTTACGTGGAACAATTAATTATATGAGAAATTTAATGAAAACATTTTTAAGAAGAAACTTTCAACTTTTTATTCATTTGTTAGCGAATGTCGTGCATTAATCCGTTCAGAGAAGAACGTGAGAGCGGCCAACACGGCGTTTTCGGCGACATCGACTTTCCGCATTGGGAAAGGGCGCCATCTGCATCCATTTTGAGAGGGGAACTATGATGCTACATCCACTTTCAGGTTTCGGCGGTGAAACCTCCATATAGTGGCAGCCCGTGCTACATCTATTTTCAGGCAGTTTATATCCGTGTTACAACCATAACAGCGTACTTGAAAGCACGGTCTCGCACATTGTTACGCGTTTATAACATGAATTAACATGTTAACATGTGCAAAAAAAAGGAATTGACATTGTGTATGATTAATATCATGAAGATCTTACGAAGTGTCCGGTAATTAGCTGCCAACCCGAAGTGTGAGGGTAGATTGGGTTGAGATAAACATAAAAGTCCCATACCGTTTTGCGAGATTCGCAATAATTATCGAGTTATTAATGACAGAAATCTGAGGAATAATAGCGCGCCGACATATATGATTGGAGAAGCGTTACAGCTGCTTAGGGCAGCGATCATGAATCTTTTCCCTAGCGTGAACTAGTGAAAAGTGAAAAACTTCTGTGAATTAGTGAAAAATGAAAAATTTTATATGAATTTGTAAAAATCGAAACATTTCACATTTGAGTCACATTGACAATTGAGTCGTTCAACATGGCAGTTGCGTTCTGGATAATTCTTAATGAATATCAAAGAAATCAAAATGATCAAAATAATAATGTCTGTGTAGTCCGAAAGATATTACGTGACACGCAAAATCCGTTTGATATAATATCCAAAGAAAATGTTTCAAAATATGTATGTATAGATAATAACCTTATGCACCAATGAGATACTATAAAGACTGATGGCCTTACAGGATTTAGCGTACCAGAAAAATTTCGCTGTACATTCTTAGGAATATCGCGGCCGAAATATGAAACATAGCTCGAAATAAGCATGGATGGTAACAGATATGGAATAATAGGAAAAAGGTATCGGAAGATATCAAAGACTATTAATACAGAAAACAGGCCGAATATGTATGTGTGTATGTCTTTTAGAATTGCGAGACGTGAGAAAATTTAGAATAATTTTTATTTTATAAATATATACACATTGGCATTCCTTAAGTTAATAATTTGAAATTGAAATATTACTAAAGTTGCAATCGAAAACATATGTACAGAGTGTTTCACAAATTCCTCGCTTCTAGGAATTCACGAAGACATAGAACGGATTAAGATAAATATAAAACTCCCATATCATTTTGCGATGTACGCAACAACCGAGCTATTAATTACAGAAATGTAATGAATGAGCACGATCGAAAAAGGAACGAAGCTGCTCGAGCCAAGAGCGGCCCATATGATCTAACGACAGTTGCCAGCGTGCAAGAAGAAGAAGAAGAAGAAGAAGAAGAAGAAGAAGAAGAAGAAGAAGAAGAAGGACAAGCCGCCGGCGAAGTAAAACACATGTAAGCTGGTGAGGCACCCAGGCGAAAGAAACAGAGCTAAGCGACAGAACGACGGCTGACGAGAAATATAATCTAATCGGAAATTTCAAGGTAGTACTCGCTAAATATCCCCGCTATGTCGTCGCTGCAAATTCGAGTGTGTTGTTTTCACACGCGTGAGAGTGTAATTAGCTCAAGCTTTCTTCATACGATTTTTGCGAGATTTGAAACTACAAAACTCGCCCCCAAAAAAAGCCTCAACCAATCGCAGGCTCATATGCATATAAATAACACATTTGAATTTGCATCTCGAATCTTTCGAAAAAAATCGACACTCGCTCTTCAGGTTCTCACAGAGAATGTCTAAAAACCTCCCTCGAACAAGCAGTATCTGATCTTGAAATTTTCATGGATCCCGAAACTTGTAAAGCGCAAGTTAGAGGAACGAGAATAGTTTCCTTCGCGATATTTCATTTCAAAATGGTACGTGCGCTGAGTATTCTCCACATGCAACATTTTTCGTAGGCACGTTTCGGGACATTTTTTATCAAGTACGAGCGACGAACTTGCATAAAAGAGCTGGAAAACGAGACGTATCGTTCAGAGGACAAAGGTTATCCGCGGATGTCACTTTCCCCGTACTTATCCGCAAAAATGATCGTAATGCGGATTAAACAGCCGCGGGAGTAGCTGCGGAAGGAAAATTCATGCGGTTTTTACGACCTCACCGGCAGAGCAGGCTCTGATTTCTTTTCGTCTCCCTTTCACTCCTAGATGTATATCTTTCTTTTTATGTTTCCTGAGTATATACTAGTTCAACGATAAAAAACAGACCTAATATCTCTTGTATACAATAAATAGATAGACAGAGATTGACGAGAGTAATTGCAGATTCATAAAGTCATGATTACTAGTCGGATGATGACGGATCGTGAATGCCGAGCGCGAAATTTCGACTTCTTATTCCCGGAAAATTCGTCAAATGTCCGCTCTCGTTATCGAAGACCTCCCATATAATCAATGATTCCACATACCTGGAAACGTGACGTATCGCTGCCGGCGTCCTGCTTTCCGGCTGCCGGAGTCCTTCGAATTTCACTCGCTCGCGCTTCTAATTCGATACTTGCGATTCGACCGTGCGGTTAATCAACGCGATGTCAACGCGATGCCGATTGAGTATCTCGAGGACCGACGAGATATATTTCTTTCAATTACACGAGACGGAAGTGACGAGCGCGTCGCGCACGGCTGCTGTTGATGGAATGAGATCGAGTACGCGAGGTGTGCGACTATTAATACAAAGGGCAAAAAGTGTCGTCGCTCGCGAGCCGATCAACACAATCGGTGCGATGTAAACATTGCGGGCCTCGGCGGCGGTTGAAGCAAGAGAGACTTGTCCTTGAGCGTATCTTCTTTTCTTGAAGGTTCCGGAACGACGATAACTCTTCTACTTTTCATCTAATATTCAATGATGATAAATAACATTTAATTGCATTTGTTTGGCTTTTCTTATTTCGAAAATAAAAAAATATATACCAGAGTGCCCAAGTAGCAAGATGACATTTAAAGACGTCATTATGGCGTCATTAAGACGCTTTTAACGTCATTATAACGTCATTAAAACGTCATCAAAACGTCATCTTGCTACCTGGGTGAGATTTCACCCATGACAACATCAACGTGATATTTTTTATGCTTTTTTTAAAAGTTCAGATATTTCGTCGACTCGCGGGATATTTATAATCGGAGTCTCGTCGCGTTAATTAACACGTGCTCCTCCGAGCGGATCGAATGCTCACCGACGGCCACTATCAGTGCCACGAGCGAATGTCCGGAGCAAACGGGATGCTGAATTGAGAAACAGGACGAAGGGAACGGGACGCGGGCAACGATACATCATGCGTCTCCAGACGTATCAAATCGTTTATTATATAGGAGACTGATGCGGCAACATGTATTCAAAGATTTAATATTTAATACGTACTTTTATTTTTCCTGCTCCTCCCCCCTCCCCTCCCCGCTCTTTTTAGACCTCCGGGCATAGTTGATAATGGAGAATTGAATTCTCCATTAGAGAGCTGTTCTCCTATTGGATGTCGGACGTCATACGTTAGACATCGGACGCAGTGTGAATCCTCCATTACTCCTACAGGCCCATCTGAAGGAAGCAAGGAAGGTTCGTCTTTGGTAAGTGATTATAGAGAGAAACTTGAAAGCGGCCACCGGGCCTGTTACGTCGGGACGTTTTTTCTGCCGAATTCCGACGTGCCTCCTGAGAAAATGTGTGCTACATTATGCCCGTCCTAATAACGGCAAAGCATGCACGTTTCTTGTTCACTCTACTTTCTTAAAGA